TAATTAATAAATTAAAACTATTCACATGATAATAGTATTAAAATAAATATTAATTTTTATATTTTTATATAAATTAATTATAAAATAATATATTTATTTCAGACCTTTAATTATTGTGCACTCACACAAGATAGACAAACTTTTAATTAAAAATTGACTAAAGTTGATGTCAAATTCAATTAGTTTGGATTACAAAAATTTAATGTTGATATAATTAAGAAATTAATGTTTATCAATTAGATCGATAAAAAATTAAGTAAAAAAAATTAAAATTATATTATTTTAATAAAATATTATGAAAAAAATAAAAATACTCTCATTCCTATTTTAAAAATAATTAAGATATTTTAATGTTTTTTCATAAGATTCTATTAAAATGACATGCTTTTCGAATATTTTTTCTCTTAATTTTTTATCATACATACTAATACCACTTTTCTAATTAATTTAGTGGGTATTTTTATCTTTAAATTAACCAAAACTAAATCAATTACAAGATAATTTAATTAAAATAAAATATTTTTTATTACTTCTTGTTCTTTTACTATTTTGTGCAAACAGAGTATTGTAAGTCGCGGAGTTCTTTCTTTCTATTTTTTTTTTCTCGCAATCATACAACCGTTAATTCAGTTGTACAACCGAAGCATTCACATAGCTGGTCGATCTTACTTCTGAAACTCTTCTATCTTTACGCCTTAAATCATTAATTTGTACAACTTAATTTTAGATAAAATCAATGGGTAGTATAATTCTTCATGTTACTACAATCTAGCTACTATAGCTTGCATTCTTATATTGATTTAATCTTATTTCTCTCTTATTTTTTATTATGGTTTCATGGTTTCATTGATTCCTCAGTATATATAAGAAAAAATGTTGTGCTGGACGTCTTCTATGGAGGACATATATTAAAATGTTATATTTTCATTAATATTTTTAAAAAATTAATTGTTGAATTGAAAATTTTATTTATGAAGATTATATATAATATTTTTTAATTAATTTATTAATTATATAAAATTTAATATCATTAAATATATATCAGTAAATAGAATCTTTGAGCAAAAGGTTATAAATGTTAAATTAATTTAAAAATTAACAAATGTAATCTATATGAATAAAATATTCAATTTAATAATTAGTTTTTTAAAATATTATGAAATAAGTTTTAGACAAGTCCTTTAAAAAAAATTTTGAGAGGATAGTTTATGCTACACTACCCACACATATATATAGAAATTAGTGTTTGTCAACCAAATTACGAAAAAAGTTAAGGAAAAAATCCCTTAAAATTGTGTCATTTTAATATAGTACCATAGGAAAAAAAAAATTATCTTTGTTTTAAAAATAAGTTATTTTAGTTTTTTTAATGAAAGTTTATTAGAATGATGTAGTTTTAAGATTTTTTTTTCTTTTTAGATGATAAACACTTTTCTTATATATATAGAGTGGGGATTCATTTATACATAGATTTTTTATACTATTTTTATACAAAATTTTGATCATTTATTCCTTCACTTTTAATTGTTGAAATTTATTAACTTTTTATCATATTTATTAAAGTAATTATCTTTTTTATCTAAAAAGTTATGATATATCTGAATCATTGATAATAAAAAAATGAATGATTAAGATTTTATAAATGTAGTGAATGATCTACTTACAAATGTTACACATTATACTTATATAAAATTTTAACTATTTATCTTTTCACTTTCAATTGTTTATATTTATTCATATTTATTAAAAATAATTATTTTTTTATATAAAAGTAGTGATAAATCTCAACTATTAAAAGTGAAGATAAGTATTATCAAAATTTTATATAAGTGTAATGTATAAAACTTGTGTATAAATAAATCTCTACTCATATATATACGTGTGTGCATATATATATGTATACATATTTAAGAATCAATCTACACACAACTCTTACGTTTATGACTTACAAATTTTGACTATTTGTCTTTGTACCATGAATAATTGAGATTTATTATGACATTTTATATAAAAAGGATAATTATTTTTTTTAAAAGGATAAAAGATGGATAAATCTCAACTATTTATGATAGAAAGATGAGTGGTTAAAATTTTATATGAGTATTGTATGTAAGAATTGTGTGTATTTGATTATATATAATATATAGATATTAGTATTTACCAACTATATCTCCATATAATTAGAGAAAAAAACTTCAAAATTATATTGTTTCAATAATATAGCACAAGACAAGACAAATAATTTCATTCCTACTTTTTAGTTTTTTTTTTTAATGAGGATTTATTAAAATAATATAACATTTTTTGAGTATTTTCCTCCTAATTTTTTAGAGGTGTAATTGGTAGACACTTTCCCCTTCTCTCTATATATTATTAGTATTTATTAGTTGGATTTAAAATAAATTTAAAAAAAATCTTAAAACTATGTTGTTCCATTAACACTATGAAAAAAAAAATCAAAACAAACTCAATTTTAATTTAAAATATATTATTTAGTCTTTTTTTTTATTAAGAATTAATTAAAATAACATAGTCAACGACTTAAATAACTCAGTGATCATCTCTTTCTACTGAAAGTAAAAAGTCATGAGTTCAAATCGTATAATATGCAGATAAGATGTGATAAAAGATAGGAGATGACTACCTCTCATTGTACAACCAAAATAAAAAAAAAATTGAAGTAACATACTTTTAAATTGATTTTCCTACTAATTTTCTACGTGTGTAGCTAACAAATATTTTTCATATATAAATATATATATATATATATATATATAAAAGACAAATCAACCGCATCATACGGCAAAAAAGAAAAAAAGAAAAA